TGCTTTGGATGGGAAGTTTGCATCAGAAAGTCCTCAGACTGAGAAATCCTGAAACTGCCTAAAATGCCCCTTTGACCCATGGTCACTGCTGTTGTTTGGCCTTGATGTGGAGCCTAGCCTTTTAGAAGACTCCATTTGAGGGTCTTGTCACCCATCCCTAGTCCTGGGGGAAAGTCAGGTCAACTCAGCCACTTGAATTGGGTCTTTGTGACTAGTGTTACTTAGGAGAGAGAGAGAAGCATTTACTGACCATAAACACAGTCCTGGGCTATAGGGTCAGAATGGGCAGGCATACCTGGGGGCCCCATGGGATCTTTATGTCCATTAAGTGTCAGAGTCATGACTGTTCTTGAGACGTCTTTTTCTAATTAAATCAAAGGGTTGCTGGCCTGGGGAGGGCCATGTGGGCTTTGTGCAGCGTCCTTCTGCGAGGGTCAGAGGAGTTTGGTTCTCATTCACCCAAGACAAAAATGACCCTGTTTACTTTGTGTTCTGCAAGTCAAGGATGACTGCTTTGGAACCATGCAAAGTGCAGGGTGTTTGGTATTATCTGCCTCAGGGGTCTGTTGGTTTCCATCAGAGTGTCCTGCAGTTGCCCTTATTAACCAAGAGCAGATTTCATCCTGCTGACCCTAGGCTTCTGTACTGAGTGTATTAATGTGATTGGGGCTGAAATCCTTGTTTCTTTGGAGCCCCTCTGCTGACTATCAGACCTGCCCGTCCACTGCAGTAGACAAACTGCCAGGCCCAGTGCGTATTGTAGATTATCAACTTCTTAGAGGGCAGGGTAGTCCTTTTCCTGCATCTTTCTATATTTCATTATTTTATTCTTTGAGACAAAGTTCTTTACTGATTATCTTGAATATTGACTCTAAGGGAGACGGAAATGAAAAGATCAGTGAGATGTTTTTATTCTGTCAGTGAGAGAGCAGGCTGTCTGTGGAGCCTGAGGCCCAGACTCCCCTTCAGGGGCCTTCCCCTCGCATCTCAGCAGAGACCATGGAGTCAGTGCTGCCAGCCTAACTCTTGTCCTTCTTCCACCCCTCCATCCTAAGGGTGAGCTTGTCGGCCACAGACTGTTACATCGTGCACGAGATCTACAATGGGGAGAATGCGCAAGACCAGTTTGAGTACGAGCTGGAGCAGGCCCTGGAAGCCCAATACAAGTACATCGTGATCGAGCCCACTCGCATTGGTGACGAGACTGCCCGCTGGATCACCGTGGGCAACTGTCTGCACAAGACCACTGTGTTGGCGGGCACTGCTTGTCTTTTCACCCCATTGGCACTGCCCTTAGATTACTCCCACTATATCTCCCTACCTGCTGGCGTGCTGAGCCTGGCCTGCTGTACCCTCTATGGAATCTCCTGGCAGTTTGACCCTTGCTGCAAGTACCAAGTGGAGTACGATGCTTATAAACTGTCCCGCCTACCCCTGCACACACTCACTTCCTCCACCCCTGTGGTGCTGGTCCGGAAGGATGACTTGCACAGAAAGAGACTGCACAACACGATAGCGCTTGCTGCCCTGGTGTACTGTGTAAAGAAGATCTATGAACTCTATGCTGTATGATTTCAGTTAGAACAGGGAGAGAAGCCAACAACCCAACCAGTGGGAGACAACAGAGTATTCAGATTGCACAGTAACATTTTTTTTGCTCCGTGACACAACAGAGTCCGGGAAGCTGTTTGGGTTAATAGTTGTTATTTTAAAAAAAATAACACATCACAAATGTACCAAGGGTTTGTCCAACTCATCACACTAAGATGTGGATTTCCGTAACCCACAAAGAAGTCTGAGACTGCAAGTCTGGGCAGTGGAATGTCGATGGAAGCTGAGGGGGTATGAATGTGCTTGGGGTGGGGGTCTTTAAGTATATTGTTTAACTGTATCATCCAGAGCCAACCAGAAGCTATTGACCATTAAAATGATGAGAATTTCAACTCCAGGTGTCTTTTCTTTCTATGACTGTGCCTGCAGCAGCTGCTGCAATCTGTGGTAGGGGACCACCGAAGCTGCCCTGCTCCTTGGATAGGATGACAAGGCATAGAGGTCACTGGGTCTCTGGGTTCATGTGGAGAACTAGGGCCTGTGACCTCTTGTCCAGATTCTGATTTAGGAGGACACAAACTAACATCTGCACATTTTTAAAGCACTGAAGCTGTTCCTGGCGTATACCAAGGCCAACCCGCTGCCTGAGGCTGAGGGAAGAGCCCTGAGGAACACCCTTGAGGAGCCCTCTTCAGCACCCTTACCTGCCCATCTGGTGCCCCCATTCCACAGTGCCAACTCCTCTGCGTCTCTCCCCCCACAACATAGTATATGCGTCATCTTCCACATTCCCCCTACAGCTTTTGGTAAATGGGAAATTACCCACTCCACAAAGAAGTTGAGCCCCCTGCCTTAACTGCAACTTTAAAGCCTCTGTTCTCAGCCATCCTTGAAGAGCTCCATAGCACTTCTTCTGAAGGGCCCATCTTTCAGAGGCAGCCAGACTGAGTTTCCCCCTACTTTTAAAGGATCCTACTTTTTTGGAAGATCATACCAGGGAGTAAATGAAGGGGTGCATAAGAAGACATGAAGGGGGTGACTGGGCTCTTTTCTACAGGGAAAAGCTTTGACAAAGATTTCAAAAGGGACCTGTGGCCCACCAAGGTTGAGAAACTGATATAAATCTAAAGGTCCTAGAGATAGTAATTCAGTTGAGTGCTAGGGGCTAAAATAGTGCTGGGTAAACAGCTGCCTACGTGATAGTCTGGCCATCTGGATCACAGTAAACTGGTAGTGACTGTGCAATGCCCACAACTGCCCAGATGTTTGATGGTTCCTGGGTGGGCATGGTGGGTCTTCTCTAGTCACCCAGATCTGGACCTGCCTGCAGATCACATTTCATGGGGGAGGTGGCTGGAAGCAGACAAGCAGTGGCCATCTCAGGTCAGCTGAGCAGAAGCACTTACCAGAAATAAGCCATGTGCATTGAACAGAGTGATTCCAGATTCTGAAATGCCACCTTAATTCTGTATCCTGTGCCAGAGAGGAGAGGATGTGGTGTTGTGGACCACAGGGCAGGGAGGGAGAGCAACAGAGCCACACCTGCCAGGTCTGGATGGCCTGTCCTGCTGTGGGTGCTGATTCACCTGTTCTGCCCTTTTTTACAAAGACATCACTGACGAGCGGGAAATGCTCACATGTAACATACCACAATGCTCTCAAAGAAACATTAAATAACTGCCAACTGAGAAGGCACAGGCCAAGTCAGCTAGGCTCTCTCCTCTGCAGAGTCCACATACGTCAGTCCTGTGTGTACTGTTTCAGTGAATGGATCATGCAATCAACCTGGTACCTGAGTCTTGTTTTAACTGCCCACCTCTCTCCAATTTCAGAGAAGAGCAAGAGCCCAACTCATCAGGAATTGTGGAGGGGAAGACCCTAGCTAACTTTTCCTATGTCTCTTCCTCGATATAGTCTCTACTGCCCCCAAAGTAGTGTTCACATCTGGTTCTGCAGCTGTCAGTCCATGATGAGGAAGGGTAGGGAAGCTCTCTCCTCAGTGCCTCCTGGGAACCAGGCAGTGTGTTCAGGGAGCTGTGCACTCACGCCATTGAATCCTGCATGAGCTGCTGTCACTAGCAGAGCAGATGTGCAGTGCTTCTGTCTGGAAAAATTCACTTGGTTTTGTTTTGCAGACTGATTTTAGCATGAAGCACAAGACAGCTTGCTTCTGCCCTCAAACCAGTGAAACACCAGGAATCTTGAACAGTAAAGTGGAAAGTACCTTTGAACTTTCTCTGAAGGCAGAACTACTTCAGAATCATGTTTTGCAAACCTACCCAGCAGAATTCAAGGATGAAAGAGATGAACAAGGAAAACAACCTTTGAGGACAGAAAAGAGAAACGAACACCACTACCACTGGTGGCAGATGTTCACATTCAAGTGTGGGTCTGGGACTCCACTCCAAGAGCCAAAGGCCAGGCTATTCCTGGGCCAGCTCCCATCTTTGGAGTGCTCCTGTGCAGGGTGCACTTGTCCTCAGCAAAGTGCTGCATTGCCATCCATGTTGCCATCACTGCAGCAGGCTCCACAGGCCTTTACCCACACAGTGCTCTCTAGGAAGGGGTGTGGAACTCCAGAGGCACCCAGATGGCTTTAGGTGTAACGTGGACATCAAAGAACACTGCATCATTGGTCTTTTTTAGTCCTTTTCCTTGTCCTTGAAGCCACCAGGAACATCTGTGTGTGGTGAGCACATCTTTCATACATCTGATATTGCCAATCTGCTCACAAGCAGATGGGCTTTAGACACAGCCTTTAGTAGACAGTGGATTTAGCTAGATTTTAGTGTTTTGGTTTGTGTTAAATTATTTTCTATTTATATGGTAGGATACAAAATTTCTAAAGTTAAGTTTTAGAAAGTGAGTATTTAAAAAATGATAAGTAAACAGTGGTATTTGAATATGACTCAAGTGTCATATCTAGCCTGAGACCCTTTTTGTCTGCTCCAAGGTCCACTTCCCAGCCCATACCTGAGTCAGGGCTCAGCAGGCCACTGTCAAAACTGCTCCAAAACTGACAACCTCAGCAACACAGCTGATGTTGCCTTGATGGCAGAGTATGCACCTTTCTCTTCCATGTCAGGAGGGAGGTAAATGGTTTCGGAGGACAGTGAAAAGCCACCCATCACATCTATATCCACATTGCAACCACGGGCTCCTAGAATGTTCAGGCCGTGCTGGGAACTGGGATAGGTCACCAGATCTAATCCACTCCTTGTCCTCCTACTTCCAGGAAACTTGAGAGCCTTGAACACCCACACCACAGGCTGCCTTTGGCCACTATTTTGAGTAGCTGTTTAAAATACAGGCTCCATAGGTTCACAATTACGATGTAATATAACAGTGTAATATGGTAGGAAATTTTTATCCCAATTCAGGGAAGCCTGAACAGTTGATCCACAATTTCCACTGTCAGCTTCAATAACGAGAAAAGTTTCACCCTAAAGTTGAGTATGAAGTTTATTTATTCAATGAGCCTCAACCATATATTGTTAATAAGTCAGAAAGATGGACACAGGCATCCTTTCTGGCTACTCTGCCACTGTCATAGCTAACAAATGGGCTGCTTTCACCAGGGAGCAGTCACAGCTGTAGAACCCCTGCCACCTCACTGGGTTTCTGAGTCTCATACTAGAGGACACATGGGATCATGAGGGTTTTCCTTTCCCCCTTGGCTGCCGTCTCAGGAAATTCATCTTGGAGTGGTCCCTGGTCCTATGGGCTTTGGGTGGGAGTCAACAAGGAAACTGGGGAATGCCTTTTTGGTACTAAAGCTGGTATCACTTGAGATATGTCATATGATTGATCACATTAGCCTTTTGCTGTGCTGAATGACATATTGTAGGACCCTAGGAATGGATATGAATAATGCCATCTTAAACTATAGCCTTCTCCCTTTACTATTGGAAATGGACTCTACCAAACCAGTTAGGCAAGTGGTCTTGGGTAAGTCAAACATGAAAATAACTGGGTCAAGGTGATGTCAGGCTGTCTTCTGATGTCAAGATTGAAACATTTTCTAGGAGCTGGCGGAGGCTAGAATTCCAAGGAGACATGGTTATTCTAATCTGTAAGGACTATGACTCTTAACAGTCCATTCATTTATTTCATAGTCTCAGTATTAAAACCCAGATCCACATTGACTCCTTAAGAATTAACCCACACAGCTGGGAAGATACCTTTTTGTTTCTCATTCTGGGCCAGCAGGGGTCTTTCCAGGGATCTGCAGGACACGTGTACCTCCATCTTTCCCACCTATCAGACAAACATCCAGTAATACACAACTCTGTGTGGCACTAGGAGTTCTTAGATTTCTGCTCCCTTCTGGCCCGGTAGGCCATGAGGCTAAAGAAGAGCCCAGGAGCCAGAGTTCGCAGATATACAGCCAAGGAAGGCAACAGGTCAGCCAGGATCACGTCTTTCTTTTTCTTCACCACAGCAGTCAGAACATCTCGGGCCACCTCCATAGGCATTCGGCCCTGGGCCGTGGTCTTGTCCATAACTAAAATAAACAAAAGAAACACATGAACTTGGAAGCAAAAGTCCCTGTCTGAAGTCAAGCTGCCAACGACTGTCATTCAGTAGGCTCGCCAGATTTTCCATCATGAAGCTCCTCCCAGTCAGGAGACAGGTGGTATGCCACCATCCCTGACTCTCCTGTACTTCAGGAAATGAGGACCCATTCTTTGGCTTAGCATGTGAGTTGGGTAAGAGATGTGAGTAGGACATGGGAACAAGGTAGAAGGGGCCTCAGTTGGTGCTCAGAGCTGGCGTACAACAAAAGATGAGGACCAGACCTGGCTGGTGTGGCTTAGTGGACTGAGCACCAGCCTGTGAACCCAAAGGTCCCTGGTTCGATTCCCAGTCAGGGCACATGCCTGGGTTGTGGGCCAGGCCCCAGTGGGGGGGCGTGTGAGAAGCAACCATACATTGATATTTATCTCCCTTTCTTTTTCCCTCCCTTCCAATTATGTCAAAAAAATAAATAAAATATTTTTTAAAAAAGATGAGGACTGGCCTAGGTGAGGTCTCAGAGGTCTCAGAGCTAGCCCCTCACACCACAGCTGAGGAGGGGTTTTCAGACCTTAGGCATTTTTGCCTTTTGAAACCACTGACTAAGGATGTTAAACCATCAAATTCAACTTGGGTGGCCAGGCTTAAGTTCTACAAGGAAGGGGTGGAAGAAGACTATGACACCCATATGCACTACAAGCTCACTAAAATGAAAGTGAAGAAGTGAGTCAGAAAGGATGTCACACCCTAGGTCATGTGTTAACTGAATATGGAGGAGAAAAATCTTTGGTTGGTTTTGTGTCTGGGAGGTTTAGGAGGTGTTAGGCTGGTTAGCAGCAACTGATGTTTCTTGATCCCTAGTAATCTGACAATTTTCCCAACAAAGCTGGACCAATTGGCAGGCATAGAGGAGAGGCCACTATCACAGACCATTAGAAACCAATTGTGGACTTCTGGTCAAGATAGAGGCATGGTAGACATGCTTTACCTCCTTCCTCAGCCACAAAAAGAATTATAACTAAATCTCAAAACAACACGCAAAACTGTCAGAAAATTGAACTATATGGAAGTCCAATAACCAAGGATTTAAAGAAGCCTCCTTTGTCCAGATGGGTAGGAGGGGCGGAGACACTGAGATAGAGCGGAGAGGTGGCGAAGGTGATGGAATGGACACGGGCAGTCCCACATTTCCATGTGGTAGATAAAAATTGGGAGGGACACCTTAGGAGCAAGCAATCCTAGCCCCATGCCAGGCCACACAGCCCAGGATTCCAGTGCTGGGATGATAAGTTCCCATAACTTTTGGCTGTAAAAACCAGTGGGGGTTGAGCGCAGAAGAAACTGCTGGATTTTCAGGAAACTCCGCTTGAAGAGCCCTCACAATCTTAAAAACATACAAAATCCATCCTGGCAGATGTGGCTCAGTGGACTGAGTGCTGGCCTGAGAACCAAAGGATCACTGGTTCAACTCCCAGGGCACATGCCTGGATTGCACACCAGGTCCCCAGTAGCGGATATGCAAGAGGCAACCACACATTGATGTTTCTTTCTCTCCCCCTCTTTTCTCCTCTCTAAAAAGAAATAAAATCTTTTTTTAAAAAGTACATAAACCCACCTACTCTGCAGCATCAGGGCAACAGCTGGAAGGGCACCAGTCACATATGGGGAGTGGGTGAAGTGACTGGAAATGGGGCAGGTGCTGTGCAAACCCCTAGAAACCATGCAGCAGCATAGTCTCTTCCCCAGGCCCTCCCCTCACATAGAGTTACAAAGTGGTGATATGGGTTGCCCCGCCCTGGTGATTACGTAAGTCTTCACCCCACACAATTTACAGGTGTCTTTTACAGGGAGCCAAAGCAGCTCTACCTAATACACAGAAACAAAGAGGGAGGCTGCCAAATCAAGGAGACAAAGAAATATGGCCCAAATGAAAGAATAGAACACAACCCCAGAAAAAGAACTAAAAAAAAAAAAAAAGGGAGACAGCCAACCTATCAGATGAAGAATTCAAAACTTTGGTGATCAGGATACTCAAAGAACTCATTGAGTACAGCAACAACGTAAAGGAAGTAATGAAGGTTACATTAAGTGAAATAAAGAAATATCTTCAGGGAAGTAACAGTGAAGAGAAAGAAGCCAGGATTTAAATCAATGATTTGGAACATAAGGAAGAAATAAACATTCATAAAGAACAGAAACAAGAATTCAAAACAAAACAAAACAAAAACAAGGAGAGTATATGGACCCTCTGAGACATCTCCAAATGTGCCAACATCCAAATAATAGGGATGGCAAAAGGAGAAAAGGAAGAGCAAGAAATTGAAAACTTATTTGAAAAAATAAAAAAAAACTTCCCTATTTTTGGCAAAGGAAATAAACATAAAAATCCAGGAAGTAGAGTCCCAAACAAATTAGACCCAAAGAAGACCACACCAAGACACATCATAATTAAAATGCCAAAGGTTAAAGACAGAGAATGTTAAAAGCAGCAAGAGAAAAGCAGATAGTTACCTACAAAGGAGTTCCCATAGGACTGTCAGCTGATTTCTCAAAAGAAACTTTGCAGGCAAGAAGGGACTAGAAAGAAGTATTCAAAGTGATCAAAAGCAAGGCACTGCAAGGCTGGATTACTCTATCCAGCAAAGCTATCATTTAGAATGGAAGGACATATAAAGTGCTTCCTAGACAAGGTAAAGCTAAAGGAGTTCATCATCACTAAGCCATTATTTCATGAAATGTTAAAGGGACTTATTTAAGAAAAAAGAAGAAGATCAGAACTATGAACATTAAAAAGGCAACAAATTCACAACTATCAACAACTGAATCTAAAAAGAAAAAAAAAGCGAAGGAAACAACCAGAACAGAAACAGAATCATTGGTATGGAGATCATTTGGAGGATTATCAGTGAGGAAGTGGAAGGAGGATAATGGGGGAAAAGATACAGGGATTAAAATAGACAAGGGAATGTTAAGAATAGTATAGGAAGTGGAGAAGCCAAAGAATTTATATGCACGACCCATGGACATGAACTAAGGGAGAGTATTGTTGGAGAGAAGAAGGGTACCAGGTGGAAGAGGGCAAAGGGGGAAAAATTTGGACAACTATAATAACATAATCAATAAAATAAAAAACCCTTTTGTAAGTTATCCAAATTGCCTGAGTTTCCTACCAGCATGTGTTCTCATCATGTTTTGGTTAACACAGAACAAGAGGTTTCTGATTGTTGCTTATTTTTAAATGCCACAGAGGAAATTTTTTAAAAAGATTCTGCTAAGTATGAATAATATAAATATGAGTCTCTCTGGATCTGTGTCTCTGTCTGGTTTCTATTGACTTGCTGAGTGAGACAGCAGCTGCACCCCAAGGCCTGGGTAGTCTTGGTTCAAGTTGGGCTATGGTGGGTGTAGTACCAAGAGGCCCCTGGTGAATGGAGAGCACAGGCCCAAGAGATCACATCCAGGGAGATAAAACATAGAAGACAGTAGTACTCAAGGGGTAGGCAGGCCCTATTCGAGCTTGGGAAGGCAAAGCTGGCTTCCATAGCAATAGCACCCAGGGGTCAATCTACCTGAGAGGTAGAAACCGACTGGTCTCTGCTTGGCCTGCCTGTATCCTGGAGCCAAGCAGTTGGGCCCATTAGTGGTGACTGCAGGTCAGCTCAGCACTCTTATTGGCTGAAGCAAGGAGATTCTGAGACTGGAGCACCCAGGCTAACCCCACAAGATTGGGCTTGTTGCTTTCAGTACCTTGAAATCAGTTTTTCTCAAGCTTAGTGGGTGTGGAACCATTTGGGTCAAGCAACCCATAGTTTCCATAAGGTTTATTCACACTAACTTCCCTTTAATTCATTGACAAGGGGTTTATTGGAAGCCTGGCAGTCTTTCTGCTTAGGAAGTTCCTTTCCAGCCCTCAAGGTCCTGGCCTACGGGGGCCCTGTCCAATAGCTGCAATGGGTGGTTAATGGTGAATGATTAATCAGTATATATATAACCAACACTTATAGCTGTTTTCATTTTAAAAATTATATTCAAATAAATGACCAAAGAATCATCAGATATAAGCAGAGTGTCTCACTGTGGCTAACCAACAGCTTTTTATAAAAGAAAAGAGCCCTGGCTTGTGTGGCTCAGTGGATTGAGCACTGGCCTGAAAACAAAAGGTCACTGGTTTGATTTCTAGTCAGGGCACATGCCTGGGTTGTGGGCCAGGTCACCAGTTGGGGGTGCTTGAGATGTTACAATCCATGTATCTCTCAAACATCAATATTTTTGTCCTCTTTCTCCCTCCCTTCCCCTCTCTCTAAAATTAAGTAAAATATTTGAAAAAAGAAAGAAAAGAAAAGGGGCCTCACCTCCATATCTGGAGCCATCAGCAGTGATGGCATTTAGAGAGAGGTTGGTGTGGATGTAGCCGGGGCTGATTATGGTCACCTTGATCTCATACTGTTCCATTTCAGCACGAAGACAGTCAAAGAATGCCTGGGTCGCATGTTTGGAGGCTGCATCTGCAAAGGTTGGTGGCCAGAGGCAGGTGAGTGTGCTGGTATGGGACGTGGCCTGGGACAAGACCAAGTATTCATTCCCATTCATGCTTTTCTTTATTCAGAAAACTGGTTTTAAAATTTAAGATGATAAAATTACAGTATTATAGCAATGTTCATCTCCTTATTTTGAGAAGTACATTTAGTCCTTGTTTTTAGGAAACACCTGAAGTATTTAGGAGGAAAAGGGTAACATGTCTCCAACTGGACTCAAATGGTTCAGGAAGGAAAAATTATAAATTTCATATATACATACATGTGCATGTATATACACAGAGTATGATAAAGCAAATGTGTTTTATGATAAACATGATACAGATAAAATGTTAACAACTGGGGAATCTGCATGAAGGGTACAATAAGACTTCTTTGTATTATTCCTGCAACTTTTGTTTAAGTCAGAAATTATTCTACTTTAGGAGACTTCTGGCCAAGATGGAGATGTACATAGATACACTATGCCTCCTTGCACAACCAAAAGAAGGACAACAACAAATTTAAAAACAAAAAACAACCAGAACTGCCAGAAAATTGAACTGTATGGAAGTCCAAAAACCAAGGAGTTAAAGACACATTCATTCAGACTGGCAGGAGAGGCGGAGATGGGCAGCAGGGGTGGAGATAACACAGGCAAGGCAGTGGCTGAAGGACTGGATAGGTGAGGCAGCAGCTGACAGCTCCATGCTTGTGTGCAGATAAAGGGAGGAACAACTGGGGAGGGAGACAGACCACACAACCCAGGGTTCCTGAGCAAGAAAAGAAAGCCTCAAAACCACTGGCTAAAAACCCATGGGGGTTTGGGGGTGGGAGAAACTCCCAGCCTCACAGAAGAGTTCACTGGAGAGACCCACAGGGTCCTAGAACATAAACCAACCCATCCACCCAGGAATCAGTGCCAGAAGGGCCCAAATTATTTGTGGGTAGTTGGAAAGTGACTGAAAGTGGGATGAGAGCTGAGCAAGTGGCTTTGTCCCCTCTCAGACATCTCCTGCACCTACAGTGCCACAACACAGCAACCTAGGCTGCCCTGCCCAGGCTAATTCCTAAGGCTCCACCCCTTACTACATAACAGGCATGCCAAGACAAAAAATACGGCCCAATGAAAGAACAGATCAAGGCTCCAAAAACAAACTAAGTGATGAAGAGGTAGCCAACCTATCAGATGCACACTTCAAAACACTGGCAATCAGGATGCTCACAGAAATGGTTGAGTATGGTCACAAAACAGAGGAAGAAGTAAAGGCTATACAAAGTGAAATAAAGGAAACTATACAGGGAACCAACAGTGATGGGAAGGAAACCAGGACTCAAATGATTTGGAGAAGGAAGAAATAAACATTCAACCAGAACAGAATGAAGAAACAAGAATTCAAAAAAAATGAGGAGAGGCTTAGGAACCTCTGGGACAACTTTAAATGTTCCAACATCCAAATACCAGAAGGAGAAGGTACCAGAAGGAGAAGAGGAAGAGCAAGAAATTGAAAACGTACCTGAAAACATAATGAAGGAGAACTTCCCCAATCTGGCCAAGGAAATAAGACTTCCAGGAAGCCCAGGAAGCTCAGAGAATCCCAAAGAAGTTGGACCCAAGGAAGCACACACCAAGGCACATCATAATTACATTACCCAAGATCAAAGAGGAGAGAATCTTAAAAGCAGCCAGAGAAAAGAAGACAGTTGTCTACAAAGGAGTTCCCATAAGACCATCAGTTGACTTCTCAAAAGAAATCTTGCAGGCAAGGAGGGGCTGGAAAGAAGTATTCAAAGTCATGAAAGGCAAGGACCGACATCCAAGATGACTCTATCCAGCAAAGCTATTGTTAGAATGGAGGGGCAGATAAAGTACTTCCCAGATAAGGTCAAGTTAAAGGAGTTCATCATCACCAAGCCCTTATTATATGAAATGTTAAAGGGACTTATCTAAGAAAAAGAAGTTGATCAAAAATATGAACAGTAAAATGACAACAAACTCACAACTATCAACAACTGACCTAAAAAACAAAAATGAACTAAGCACACAACTAGAACAGGAACAGAATCACAGAAATAGAGATCACATGGAGGGTTATCAGTGGGTAGGGGGAGAAAGGAAATGGAGGAAAAGGTACAGGGAATAAGAAGCATAAATGGTAGGTACAAAATAGACAGGGGGAGAATAATATGGGAAATGGAGAAGCCAAAGAACTTAAATGTATGACCCATGAGATGAACTAAGGGTGGAATGCCAGTGAGAGGGTGGGGTGCAGAGTGAAATAAAAGGGAGAAAAAATGGAATGACTATAATAGCATAATCAATAAAATATACTGTAAAAATTTTGAAAAATTATTCCACATTCAAATAATACACAAGGATAGAAAGTAAAAAAAATACAAGTCCTACATTCCAAGTCCTGAAGAATTTCATTCTCCAGAGGTAACCAACACTAATGGTGTCTCAGGATTTATTTTTTATATATCCTGTGTGCATATGCATATATGTGATGTTAATAGAACTCATACTATTCATATTATTCCTGCAAGTAGCCTTCACCTAGTGACAATAGTCTTGACTGCCTCCATGCCAGTCATGCAGACTTGGCACACTCCTCCATGAGTCCCTGGACTTCAGAAGTGGCCCTTCACAGGTTGTTTCCAGGTTTTTTCATCGAAGCTATGTTATTAATAAGCATCCTTGCATGCATGGGAGCGTGTATGCATAAAATCCAAGACTGGCTCTCTTAATGTATTTTGTTTAACAAACTTCCACAAAGTGGCTTTTCATCAGGAAGAGATACTGAGCTTGCTCCACCTCTAAGAAATGGAGCTACTACTGTTCTTCAGTGATGGCTCCACAACAGGAGAAAGGGGACACAGCGACCCTACAATATTCCTGGGAAACACATGGCATCCACACTGAAAATCAGTTTCCCCCATTCAGAGTTCTAAGTGTTTCAGCCTTAGGAAAGGGGCATCCACTGGCCAATAAAACAGGAAGGGGAAAACACCAGGAAGTGTTGCCACAAGTCACATGAGAAATTCAAGTGTCTGAACTTGCTCGAGTGTCTTCTGGGGCCAGCTTCTTTGTTTTAGGCCATGTTGCAAGGCCACATCAGTAGTCTGTGAGTAGGTGGGTGGGCAGGACTGTTCCTGTCAGCGTGATTCCAGAAGTGCTGTCCAGGCCCAGGGACTGAGAACAGGGAGTCATCCTGGGGATCCCAAGAATGGAAGGCTGTACCCTGAACAATGAGTCTCCCAGAGCTCTCAGGCTGCAGATCAGCAGCCAGGCTATGGTGACCTACTCATCACCACTGGTGTGAAAGTACTCAGCCCTCCTACCCACAAGGCATGGTGCTCACTACACTGCCTGGATCACCTGACTTGGTCCTCACCACAGTACTGTGGGGGAGATAAAGCTGCTCTCCCATTTTATGAGAAGACACCAGCACTCACCACTGTGCTCAGGAGGCACTGCCACATTCATGCTGGTCATCATAAAGTGCCCAGACCAACCACGTGTGATTTACTTTAGTCACAAGCTAAGTGGAGAACAAAACTCAGACTAAATCAAAGTAAACTTTTGAAATAGTTTCATACCAAGAACATGGTATATCTTTTACTTTGACTTACCTATTATTAACAGTTTACCTCATTTGCTTTATCATTGGTGATTATATATATATATATATATATATATATATTCCAGAACTATTTTAGCAGCCTTAGACGAATGTCCTATCTGAGGACAGGAGGTGAAAACAGATACAAGCATAGGAAGAAATATAGATACAGTGCTTCATAATTTACAAAGGATGTTTTTTTGAAGATTTTTAAAAATTTACTTTTTTAGACAGAGTGGAAGGGAGGGAGAAAGACAGGGAGAGAAATATAAATGCGTAAGAGATACATTGATTGGCTGCCTTTCTCACACCCTCCAACTGGGGATGTAGCCTACAACTCAGGGATGTACCCTGGCTGGGGATCAAACTGCCAACCTTTTGGTTCACAGGACAGCACTCAATCTACTGAGCCACACCAGCCAGGGCTACAAAGGACTTTTCATCTTCATTTGTCTCATTTCATCTTTAAAACAACTTTGTGAAGTATGTAAGATGATTGTAAGACTCATTTCATAAGAAAGGAAATAGAGGATCAGACAAGTTAACTTGCCTGAGGATCTACAACTAGAACCAAAATGTACAGCTGGGCTCAGAAAGAAAGAGTAAGTTTCTGTGACATTTCCAGGTCAGACAGTTGGATGTCTGTCCCATGCTCCCAAAGTGCTGAAGCAGCTCTGCCCTCCTGGCCTTCTCTGCCAAGTCTGCTGGGCGTGGCTGAGTCGAGCATTTGGAGGTGGTGAGAGCATGAGTTGGCTCTAAGTATTTACTTCCAAAGGCTGGAGCAAAGAACAGGAGTCAGTAAGACACTCTGTAAAATTACCTTTGAAATCTCTTAAGAAAATTAGATTCTGTTTGCTTGCTACATGATGGCAGACAGATGAATGAAATGATATCTCAAAATTTTGGCATAGCCACTTGCATACATGGAGGTGAAGTGTGACTTGCAAGTCAATGTGGCAGTTTTGATTACTTGATCCTACCTATTTCAACTTTTCAGAATTTATTTTACTAAAGCCCTCCCATGAATGCCTAGAGATATAAATATTTAAGGATGTTCTATGTAGTATATAACTGTTAATGGTCAAAAACTGAAGGGGAAAAAATCCTCAAGTGTCCAGGAAAATGGCTAAATAAATTATGTCATATATGAATTCAATAAATTACTATATATCCACTTAAAAGGATTAGGTAAATCCATATATATTGATGTAGAAAGATAAACTGCTGTTTGAAATAAGCAAGTCACAAAACAGTATGCATAACGTGACCCTATTTTTTGTATGTTTGATCATATGTAGAAAAAGCTTGGGGGGAAATGCCCAGAGCGATATGAAGTGACAGTACCTGAGGGCAATGGTAATCGATAATTGCAACTAACACAGGCATGGTACTTATGCCTGGCGCTGCTCCAAACACTTCACTCAGCAGATCCCATCTCCACTTTGCAGATGAGGACTGGGGTGGCAGAGTGGTTGGAACGCCTGCACAAGGTCACAGATAGGGGCTAAGGAGTAGACCTGGGACTTGAACTGGACATCCTCTACTCAGGAGAACACATTCTGATGAAGTTCCTTCATATTCTGTATTGAGTATTTCTCTAATGTCTGCATTCTGGATAGAAAATGTGGTATTTCTATAATCAGGAAAAAACAAAAACGAAGAACATTTGGGGGAGGGAGAAGGAAGTACTCACATGCTGATCGAAAAGGAATGCTGATTTTGCCCTGGATGCTGCTGATGGCGACGATGTGGCCCTGTCGCCTTTTGATCATGGAGGGCAGGAATGCTAAGGAAAGAAGTCAGAGATTTTACAAGAGGACTTTTCTTCTGGTCACTGCACCCAATGCTGAGAGGGGATGGCCTCACTTATTAGATTTCATCGGATCAAAGGAGGTGAATGGTGAAAGCCCTCTATGGGGAGGCCCATATTTTGTTGGAACTTTTAGGCCTCCTGCACCTGGCAGACTTCCAGCTGGCATATAGAGGGGAGGAGGGAGGAGGAGACAGAGAGCGGCAGACAGAGGCCTAATCACTAATGGCCAGCTCAGTTTCCTGGAGAGCTCTCCCCTGGAAGGAAATTGTGCCTGGACATAAGAGTATCTCTACTATGTAGGGGTTTATGCACGACACTAAGAGGAAATGGAGGCGATACTGTACAAAGGAAGCTGTCACTGAAGAGAGCATCTTGATTTAAGGCTAGAAAGGAGATAGAGAAAATGCAAATAAAAATCTGGAAGAAGCCAGCACCCAAGCTGTAAACAACAGCACCTTTTCCAAGGTAAAACAGAGGATGAAGACAGGCAACATTCAGCTAACAAGGAACCAAGTGATGTGAAAAACAACAAATGTGGAGAGCCAAGCAGGATAACGCATGCCAAAAGGGTTGGAAGCAGGCCTCGGCTTCAGCACAGCTGCCCCAGGCCACGGAAGACTGCCTGATAGATTGTTGTAAGAGAAGAATGACTTGGCTGCTTGCTATATCACTGTACCAAGAAGGAGCAGCAAATGTTCTTAAAAAATACAATGTACCTAGCCTTGCGGTTTGTCTTTCTCACGTTCTGCTTCAAAGCTGGCTCAATATATACAGCCTGACTTCACCAATAAACAGTTCCCTCCTCTGCATCCCAGAGAAGGGACTCCACCTGACCCCGCTTTGACTCTGTCTCTATTTCTCAATCCCCCGTCACTTTCCCTGGGGACCTGACTGATCTAGCTGCGCTGGTCATGGCAAACAACACCCCCCCCCCACACACACACATCAGTGTTCTTTTTTCTTTCATCTAAGACTCACCTTTCGTTAGAGCTACTGGGCCAAAGTAGTTTGTCTCCATGACTCTCTTGTCCACGTCTGTGGTGGTATCTAGGATGGCACCACGGTAGCTGACACCAGCATTGTTGATGAGTACATCGACATAACCAAAGCACTGCAGGATCTCAGCTGTTGCTCCAACAACAGCCTCAGGGTCTGTGAGGTCGAAGGTCACTGTGAAAGGCTTGTGTGTCTGCACCTGGTCAGATATGACAGAAACCAAATGCACCTTCAGAGTGAGAGGCCATGTGAGCCACATGTCCCTGCTGTTCAGAGTTAGAGTGGCCCACTGGGCATGAAATGATACAGGCTGAAGCACCTTTCTTCTAAAGAGATGTGGCCTGGGGGATCCTGCCTACAGTGATTGCATCTGAGGTGGGCAACTTTTCCATGGAATTGACAATTATTATTAGAGCCAGACAGTAAGCTCCACAGGACAGGGATCTCACAGGATATAGGATACTGTGCAGATTACCACAGGAGCTATTAATCATGGCTCCCTTACACCAGCATTGTGCTGTATATTATAACAAGTTAAACAGTGACCCTGCTGAGAGGCACTATCCTTCTCAGGTTAGGTCACTTTATTTTTTTGTTCATGAAACATTTTCTATATATCCCTAGGTGCCAGACACTGGGAACATAGCAGAAAATAAGATAGATAGGGTTCTTTTCCTCCTAAAGCATATAGTCTAGTGGGGAAGAGAGACAAACTGTAAAGAATGCCACAAAGAACTATAGTTCTTTGAGACTCTCTAGAGAGTAGAGAAATGAATAATTGAGCCATCTTACTTAGAGGACTTCTCAAGTGAGTTAAACAAGAGATCAAAAAGATGTGACATCAGAGAGGATGGCAAAGTAGGAAGTGCCAAGAATCCATCTTTCAACCTGGACAATTGTACTGATAGAAGCTCCCTGAAGTGGTACTTCGGTACTCATGCTTAATTTGTTCCAAATCTTGTAAAAAGTGCCAAAACTGACAAGTACGGAACTGTTCATGAGCTACCATGAGACTTACACCTCTACCACTGTTTCATCATGAGAAAGGAGTACCGAGTAGTGAGCAAGTGCCAACTGCTGAAATATCTTTTGTCATCAAAATGCAACAAGTACAGAGTCTGATGAGTTCTGAAGCTGATGAGTACTGAGGTATGACTGTATTTTGGAGCTTTGGAATCTATATGAATGTTTGCAGCTTTCGGGAAGAGTGCTGGGCTGGCAAATTATATACATTTTGGTCATTTTTAGCCATCAGCTCAGTGGTGGCTATCCATCCCCAGTCCACCTGGCCCTGTGGCAGTCAGTTGTGGGAAAGACAATCAAACACTCAGGTGGGTGCAGTTTGAGGGAGCCAAGGTAGGAAATAAGACCTTGTCTTCCAAATATCTGGGTATTATTCTGATGGCAGATTGCTGGTCTGAGCATCAAGGTGCAGCATGGAGGCAGATTAGTGTCTTTTAACCACTACTAGCTGAAGTGGCTTCCAGTAGATTTAAAGAAGTCACATATTTTCTTTGGTGTTAATATATATATATATATATATATATATATATATATATATATTCCCAAAAAACATACCTGAGGAAGCCCAAATGATGGGCTTCTTACTAGACAAAGACTTTAAGACAACTGTCTTAAAGATGCTGAAAATACTAAAGGAAAAGATGGACAAAAGCAGAAATGGATGTATGAATATAAACAAAATGAAAATATAAATTAAGAAATAAAAATTATTTTAAAAATTCTGGAACTCAGAAGTATAATAACCAAAATGAAAAATATATTAGAGGGTTTCAATAGGAGATTTGAGTTACTAGAAAAGATAATTAGTGAATTTTTAGACATAACAATTGAAATTATCAAGTCTGAGAACAAAAAGAAAATGAGAATGAAGAAAACTAAACAGAACCTAAGGGACGTATGGGACACCATCATGTGGATCAATATATGCATTGTGGGAATCTGAGGAGAGAGGAAAAAGGGTAGAATATTTGAAGAAATAATTGCTAAAAAAAATTAAGACTATGAATCTGCACATCCAAGAAGTTCAATAACACACAGGATGAACTCAGAGACTCACAGTTAGACACATTACAATAAAATGATCAAAATACAAAGAATTCTGAAAACATCAAGACAGAAGCTACTCCTTACATAAAAAAGATCTTCAAAAAGATTCATCACCTGACTTATCACAAACTTTGGAGGCTAGAAGACTGTTTATCAAAGTGTTAAAATAAAATAATTGTCAACCAAGAATTCTATATTTGACACAACTATCTTTCAAAAATAAGAGAGAAATTATGATTCCTAGATTAAACAAAAGCTGAGAGAGTTTGTTACCATAAACTGCCCTGTAAGAAATACTAAAAGGAGCCCTTCAGGTTTGAAATGAAAGAAAGCTAGATAATATGACTTAAAGCCATCTGAATAACTAAAGATTGGCAGTAAATTAAATACATGGACAATTTTAAAAGCTGATATTATATATATATATATATTTTAAGATTTTATTTATTTATTTTTAGAGAGGGAAGGGAGGGAGAAAGAGAGAGAAATATCAATGTGGGGTTGCTGGGGGTCATGGCCTGCAACCCAGGCATGTACCCTGACTGGGAATCGAACCTGTGACACTTTGGTTCGCAGCCCGTGCTCAATCCACTGAGCTACGCCAGCCAGGGCTTGATATTATATTTTTTAAAATAATAATAAATAAAAGCTAGTATTATTGTAATTTTGGTTTGTAACTCTACCATTCATTTTCAACACAATTTAGAAACATGCATTTAAAAACTATTATTAATCTATGTTATTGGATAAGCAAAGTATAAAGATGAAATCTATGACAAATTGCAGAAGGGGGAGGACAGAGGTGTACCAGTGTAGAGATTTTGTATGCTATTAAAATTAAGTTGGCCATGGATCCAAGACAGTGGCAGAGTAGGGGGAAGGTACACTCACGACCTCCCATGACCAAACTAATTACAAATAAATTATAGAATAATCATCCTGAATAACCAACTAAGACCAGATGAAGAATAGTTACAACCAAGCACTTGCAGAAGAAGCCATTTTAAGACAGGTAGGAAGGGTGGAGACATGAAAAAGGATGGCCTCATCCCATGGGTGGTGGCTGAGGTTCCACAGGGATATCTCAAACACAGAGGGTTCCTGCTGAGAAGCATGGGGTCTCATCCCCAAGCCAAGCTCATCAGCCCAGAGGACCAGAGCTAGAAGAGGTGCCCACATAACATCTGGCTGTGAAAATCAGTGGAGATTGACTTCTGTCCATCAGGGAGAGACGCAAGTCCCATAGAGACATAGGCACCCCTCTTAAAGGGTCAATGCACGTAATTTTGTTTGTAGCCACTCACCCTGGACTCTGCAGGAGAGAGGGTGAACCAGATTAGAGTCATGTGGGAGTCTGTTGTGTGTGGCTCTGGGGAGAGACCTGAAGGAACAGCCCCCAGCATCCCTGTGCTGAGTCATTCTCTCACACTGCAGACACCATCTTTCTTGAGTGGAGCAATCCTCTTCATATGGCATCAGTCTCAGAGAAATCACTGGTCCATCTTCCGGACTCCCTCTCTTTCCACTCTGCATAACTGATGCACTGCTTAGAGTCAGCCACCTTTTATGGGGTGTAGAGTTCTGGGCAGACTCAGGGAATGTCAGTGATTTAGTTATGTGGCTTTGGAGCAGGGGTCATTTTTCCCACTTACCCGAGAAACCAACTGGTGCTTCCTCCTCATGAAAGACCCTCTAGCCCCACCTTCTGGGCTTCAAATGGACTGACCCATTTGGCTCCCAGTGGCTCCGCCCCGCCAAGGGTTAAGCAGAATCTGGGACTGACTGAGTTGTTTGGCTGTGGGGCAGGGGCTATAGTTCCTACCTTCTGTGAAGCTTGACCAGCACATCCACCACATGGGAGATCCACTAGCCCCATCCTGCCTTTCACAGAGACCCTACCAGTGCTGAGCTCAGGCTCCACCGGGCAGAATCCAGGATAGACTGGGTTGTGTGGCTCTGGGACAGGGGCCATTTCCCTCTCACACGCCCAAGCAGGGAAGAGCCTTCCCTTCACATGGCCAAATCTTGGTCTGCTTGAGTTGGATAAACTCTGCTGGCCTTGCCCTGATGACTCCCTGAGACTCCACCACAAAGGTGTGCAAGCACCCAGTGGGTGGCAGACAGACTTGGTATACCCTGGGACTTTTGCTGAGCGGCCTCAGACCCAGAACTGGCACTGAGTTTGAACCTGTATCAGTCTAGTGAACACCACTCACTTCTGGACTCACTAAGGACCTACCTAATGTAACTTGAGTACTGCCAGAGGCTCTTTCAATGACTGAGCCTAACAGGTAGTCAGTAGGCAGAGATAGGCAGAGGCAGATCTGAGGGAGCTTGGGACTTTGGCTGACCAGCCCCTGGGCCTAGTGCTGGTAAAACCCGGCATTGGGACGCAGATTGATCCTTCCCATGCACACCAAAGCTCAGCAAAAACAGCCATAAACTGGGGATAGATTTGTAGCTACAAACAGGTTGCTAGGGGCAGTAACAGGCAGCATCAGACATTAGTCTGCACCAAAGTCCCTCCCAAGAAGGCCAGAACTAACACACCCAGATTCAGACATCAGAAAAGGATCCAGTAAGTGTCACAAGTGGCATATCCAAAGGGAGATCTTGGGAGGCACCAGACCCTGCTGAGGTGAATTCTGCATCATGTGAAAAGTACCAACAGAGCAACCTCCACATTATGGTCAAGGTTAAGCCTCATAGCCAGCAAGCCTGAGGTTTGATCCCAGCATAAATGGGCCAATAGCAATCAAGACTCAATTACAACAGGAGGGCCCACATAAGCCACACACAGGACATTCATGGAGCACCCCAATCAGGTGATCAAAGAGACTGTGCCACTGGCCCCACAGGATACCTACCTAAGTCTTAAGGCCACTCTACCAAGACTGGGAGTCATAGCAAATCTACCTAATGCATAGAAAAAAAAACACAAAGAGGCACCAAAAGTGGGGAGACAAAAAAATATGCCTCAATGAAGGAAGAGGAGAAATCTGCAGAAAAACAGTTAAATGCTATGAAGGTAAGCAACTTACAGATATAGAGTTCAGAAAAATGGTTATAAGGATGCTCAAGAAACTTAATGAAACCTACAAGGTACTTAGTACCTTGTACCTTAGAACT